AACGAGGGCTTTAAGTAGTTAACTGACTGCAGTTTGCAAATTTGCCTGAATATGCTAATGATGTCCTTTTTTTGTCTTCATGGATGCCATTTTATTTTTCTTTCATAGACCACCATGCTTACTAGTGGCACATTTTACATCAGTCTCCACAATACAGGAAGGACATCTTGTACCTGAAATCTTTCTATTCCGTCAGCCAGTATACTGGCAATGGTCATATGCTAGGCTAGGTTCAGATCTGAGCGATACCCAGGGCCGCGTGATCGTGTTCAGGTGCACACGGCAATTGCCACACAGCCCCTTTGATTTCAATGGGGTTACCTCTGAGCGGCAATCGCTAAAAAAGGTACATGTATTTTTTTTAGCGGCAATCATGTTCAATTGCACGGGCGGATTTGCGGTGGGAAATCGCTCGATCCACCCAGCTTGGCTGGGTATCCATTAGAAAATGGCACTGCCAGCACGATTTGGCTGTGGAGGGCGACTCCAAAACTGCTCGGGAATCCGCGTGGTTTTGTGCATGATCGGTCACGGATCGCACAGGTGTTGAAACTAGCCTAAATGAGATCATGTGACTGGGTTTGATTGCTGCGGCACTACCTCCATTGTGACTTCATAAGTGTAGTAACGTCATACTGCTGTAAAGACGAAAATGTATGGGAATTAGATAGAGGCCAGCAAAGCTCTGTGGATTTGGGGAGGAGCATTAAATCCAAACCTTTTAAAGTAGCTATCCTAAACACTGCCTTCCAAATTCATGATCCAAACAAAATTATTATAATACATATTCTTGTTATTGAAGGTGCATTCATATAGATAACTATATTTATAGGCAAACATAATACATCATATGACTCTACTGAAGTATAAACATGAGCACGTAGTTATCTATAATTCATACCAATCCTTTAAACACCCACCAATGAGAATGTAATCCAATTGTGGAAACTAAATACTCCCTGCCACATACAGCTAATTAATGCAAATACATGTTTGTTGTGAAAAAATATAAATTGCCTAAATTTCAGACAGCTGATCTGGAGCTTAATGGATATGGGATTACTAGGGTTTTGTCCTTACTGCAGGCACATTAATGACCCCTTGGGAGCCCTTACTACAAAATAAAAATGTATAACGCATTGCAAATGGTATTACTTCCTAATAGTCAAAGGATAATCAAAATACAGTCATTCATTGTCTGGAGCTTCTAAATGCTGTCTGATGTCTAATGAAACCTTCAGACCATCGCTCACTAAATGGCGGACCGTGGTCCGAACATGGACCAAGTGGCGGTTCTGTCCATGCTGCGATCGCCCCCTGCACTAGGTTACTGAGTGGCTCATAGTGGATACAAAGGCCTCTGAGGCTGGTGTTTCCACTGCCAGCCATAACTCAGCACAGGTCCCCCTTTCACTTCAGTCATTGGTTGCTAGAACCGCTGGCTTCCTAGCAACCAATGGCGTCAGGGAGGCAGGGCCAGCTTGTGAACTACAAGTGATCTGGGTGCATTCCTGTGTTTCATCATCTGTTTTGGAGGTACAGGGGAGCCATCAGGAGTCTAATAGACATGTCACCTCCAAATGCTGTCACATAGGAGCTTTTTATCTTTTGCTATCACAAGGGGGCTAACTGAAAAAAACTTTTTTTAAAGGTGATAAAGTAAAACATTTAAAGAAAAAAATGTGATAAGTAAAAATAATATAAATAAAAAGAAAAAAATGTAAACCCAACCCTGCGACGTCCGACCATTTGATTTGAATTAACCCGTGCAGTTCTAACAAAATAAACCTTGCAATGTGCCGGGTTCAGCACATCGGCACTGTGCTGGGGAAAACACACAGCAGCTATGCATTGTAGTGCAACCGCTGGGATGAATGCAGCCAAAATGGTGGACTATGGCACGGACACGGACTGAGTGACTGTTCTGTCTAGACCACAATTTGGACCTCTGCTCAAAGAAAATGTTACTTACCAGGCCTCCTTACATTTTAATGCACTGCCCCTGCCTTAGACCATCAACGTCTTCTGAGTAGACATGGCCAACACAACACATTTTTTTAGCAGACGAAACAAATGGATTACATGTTTGAATGTACAATTGTAAAGCTAAACACAAACAGTCACCACTAGAATGGCTGGTGAATGCATGTCGTCCCTTGTTTCCTTATTTTTATTTACTTAATGGAATCCATGAGTACACGATTGCTCGTGCTCCGTTGCAGTGCTCAAGATGTAGAAAACTGCTGTGGCTGCTCTCAGGTACTTAGTTTGGACCAGAAAAGGCAGACTAAAGCTCGCCATAGCCAGCAGCGACCAATTGGAAATGCGTATGCCAGTTTGATCAGTCCCACGTGGTCTTCTGGCACACCTTCTGCCCTGTAGTGTTCTGCAGTCATATGAGTTTTCCAGTTTAGATTCTGAAGTAGCATTGTGAAGTTTCATAATTTGTCTTAAGGGAAACAATAGTACCTGCATAACCTCTGATTCCTTTTAGTGGAGCACTTAACAGATATATCTGATGCTAGCCTTTCTATGGGAAGACCAATCGGCAAAAAAAAATAAAAAATCCAAACAGTCTGCCATGGCTGGGTTGGGCCCACAAGCATGTGGATGTTCTCTTATGCCACCACCACAAATGGCCAACTTCGACAAACATTTTTCTGATATTGTTAAGAACCTTTTAGGTTGCTTTATTGTGAACTTTTTTTGTGTGGGGTCATTTTACAATGGACCAGTTTGGTCTCAATAATATATGTAATCATTAAAGATAAACAGCATGGAAAAGGTTGGGTTTTATTGTAAATATTAGCCTGCCGAGGGATGGACTTTGTGCAACACATGATCCACTGATCATAAGAAATGAAATTGCATGAAATGTGAAATGTCAGCTCCAATTTTACAATTTCCTGTCAACCTAATATTAACCCATCTTGTTTCCTGCTGTTACAATGTGTATCGTCTAAGTTTCCAACAAACAGAAAGTAAATGTATGCATGAGAATCCTACAAACATCAAAGTACAATGACTATAAAGCACCTCTTCATGTCAATAACAGATCGTCTACAAACATGAAAGGGTGATGCTAGTAAATGTTTATAGAACAACCTGCTAGTGGATTAGCTACATAAATAGCGTTCACCTACACAAAGCAGCATATAACTATTTTGTATAAAGTCAACACAATCACGGTAGGTACAACATAATGTTTATTTAGAGTGGAACACACTTCTGCTGCTTGTGATACACCTGTCTAGACCATGCTTCCAACCTGCTGTGTGGTCCAGTGTCGTGACCAGCAGTGGTGAGCCTGGGCTTGGTGTGAATCCAGTTTGCCCAAGCATGCTCAAAACTGTGACCAGCATTCTTCTCTCGACCCAGTCGCCCACCCTGCAGCTATACATCACATTGGGGTGGGGAATGCCCCCTTGGCAACTGCACCATTGATTGGGTCAGGAAGGGGAGTATGGTGATCACAGTTTTGAGCAGACTTGGGCAAATTCAGATGAACTGGGTTCCCACCAAGCCCAGGCTCATCTATACTGACCAGCTGCCTTCTGGTCTGATTTTTCCAGGGTCCTTTCCTGTTGGTCTGCATAGCACTTCACAGCCAAGCCTGTCCACAGAGGTCAGTTTTGGAGAACTGGAGTCCTGGCACCCATGCCACTCTGTGCCCTCTAACACCTCTACTCCATCGTGTAAAAACGCTTTTCATTTCAGTTATTGTGGTCGCCCCAGACCAGCGTGAGCTGCCTTCAGAGTGCATCAGTTTACCTTTCCCACACAGGTATTTGTGCTGGCGCCTGTGGTGTTAACTCTGTACCTCTACTTCACTCCAGGGGTGTCGGGACCACAGGTGTAAGGGAAGTCCTCTTGACCTTCAACCAAGTACATGATACTGGGATTGTATTGCTGTCATTGTTTGTTATTTGTACACTGTTAGAATTTTGGGCCAATTCTCAGTAGTTCTAATACTGTATGGCCAGCTATACATGCCCCCCCCCCCCCCCATTATCTATGTCCCATAACATTGCCACTACAAAGAAACAGCACACAGGTTGCTGTGGCAAAGCTCCCCTCCGATTTTATGCAAAAACTGTCTGAGGCAACAGACACCTGGCAATGGAACTTCTCCAAAGTTAAAGTACAACTGAATCCCAAAATGTTTCTTTTAGTTTTGGATAGGGAGGAAAGTGATTAGAACATCTGTCAGGTTTGTATTGCTGCCTGTGCCCCCATTAGGGAGATTCGCCCTCTATTTGTCCTGGTGAATGTTATCACTAAATGTAAAAGTTAAAAAAAATCCCAAATTTTAAGTTGCCACCAGAACAGGAATAGATGGGAACTCTTCCAATAGGGACACTGGATCTAGTGACCCTGCTGGCCACCAGGGATTTCCTTCACTTTGGGGGAATTTTTTCTCACTTCCTGTTGTGGCTATTGGACAGGAAGTGAAGGGATCTCTCCCCAATGGAACTCAGAAAACAACAAGAAAAAGCTGGCAGTGGTTTTAACTGCACCTTATTCTATCCAAAACGAAACAGAAAATTGGCTTCAGTTGTACTTTTAAAAAACACAGATGCTTTAGTTTGTTTTTTTTTATAATATAAGAGTTTTACAGTAAGTGTGGGACAAAATAAATTGTAAAAATCTACCATTTATGTTTTTTGCTATCTGATTCCTGGCAAAATCTCATTTAAGCCATTAGACATTACAACCCCACCTGTGCAGAGCTACCCAAAAAAAAGGCTCGAATGAATAATACAATAATCATCGATTCAGCAGCTGAGCAACATCATCCTGGAATAACATATGACAAGAAAAAAAAGCACAAAAAAAAAGCCTTGCCATCAGTTAAGATGGCCGCTGAGTCCCGGACGGCCAGACACGTGATTGGTTCGTTTCCGTGGTCCACGCCTCAATACACCCAATCGTTTCACAGCAGTGTGCTTTAGCTTACTGAGCATCAGTCATGTGACTTCAGCATCACAGCTGTGGCTCCGCCCGCGGAAGGGAGTTTGGAGGTAGACCAAAACAAGCTGGGATAAAGTTGTGAGAATCGCTGGAGCTGCCGGGGGCGGAGCAGAGACTGGTAATCATCCCTTTGCTTTTATGGGACCTGCTGATGGTCGTGTGTGCGCTCTGACCGGGTTTTCTGGGTTACATTCACATTGGGAGGCTGTATAATGTACATGACCATAGGCGTATGTAGACTGGACAGGGGCTGTCAGTGTGTGATGCGATCAGCTATGTATGTGTTATCCTGCCAGGGCGGCTGTCATAGCTCTGAGATGTCATGTATGTCTGCTGGGAAGGGTCTGATGTCACTGCTGCTTGTTTGTTTTCATTTTAGTAGCTGGACTTGTTTGGCAGCAGGTGACTTTGAGCTGTGTGTTCCATGTATTACTCCATGTATAGTAATAGTAAGTGTATGGGCTGGACAGAATAACATTCACATGGACACCTTCAGTTCCGTGTGGTCCATGTCACTATTGTGACATCCGCATCTGTCCAGTTTTTTTCTCCATCTTGCAATGTAGAAAAAACTAAAATTCCCGGACCCATGTTGGTCTATGGGAAGTCAGATGTGTCCGTTTTACATCAGGTTACCACCGCTCTGCCATGATCAGGTCCGCCAGAACGGAATTCTGATCCATCTGTTTCTCTGGGCCTGGCCGGAGTCGGGGGTAAAGGGATGTAAACAGACACATGTCATAGAGTAACATTGGGCTTCCGACCAGATCCACCTGAAAAACTAACACCTGATCAGAATGTCCGTGTGAAGGGGGCCTTATGAATTCATCACATGGCTATATAAAGAGCAAGTCAGAGGCAGTCTAAAAAGGCACATTTCATATTTGTGACCGCCCCCAAGCTTTTTCACCGGCTCAATGCTGATTGACTCGGAAGCCGGCTTCCTGGCCATTTACATCAAGCTGGCCAAGAAAGGTTGTACTGGACAGATGTGAAGACTCGGGAGGTAAACCTCTGGCTGTTTGGCTGGGAAGCTGGCTTCTCAGCCAATCGGCATCGAGCCACCCAAACAGCATGGGGGGGCATCACAAATATGTAAAAGACAGATGCAGCGTGCAAAGTTGGGCAGTCAGTAATGTGTACAACACAGCGTACAAAGTGGGGTCGTTAAGTACAATGGAGCAAGGTGGCCAGGAGCATGTAAAATACCCCGCAGCGTAGAGAGCAGGGCGGTCAGGCATATGCAAACTACAATGAAGCGTACGGAACAGGGAAGTCAGAAGTATGCAAAGTACAATGCAGGGAAATCTCAAGTTTGTAAAATACAGTGAGGTGTGCAGGATGGCTTGATGCTGATTGGCTAGGAAGCTGGCTTCCCGGCCAAACAGCATGGAGCCGGCTTCTTGGCCAGTCAGGAGGCAGGTCATTTCCTGCCGACCGGCTTTCTGATTGGCCGGGACACTGGCTCCATGCTAGCATAAGATAAATATCGGTACTCCTACTCGATACCGAAAAGCCGGTATTGTCGCATCACTATGTCACTATGGGCAACTGCCCCAGATTCTGTCTGCTGCAGTGTTGATGAACTCCCGTCACAGTGCATGAATTTTACATACATTTTATTACAGGAATTACCCTCTCTGGAAAACGCCTTTACAGGCCCACTATTGCAGAAATTAGTGCATTCTGCCAACTCCACGTGATTCATACCTGTAATGTAATGATAGGATTCTTTATATGAATAGGTTTTTTGTTTTTTTTTAAATAAGGTACATGCTTTTATTTATACTTTTCTACAACTGTCCAGAAGTGGCAGCCACAAAGGTTTGGACAAACATTGCTACCAGTCTAACATAGGTCACCTTTTATTCCTGTGGTTAAACCTTTTGTTTCCAAAAGAGAAGAACTTTTGCTATACCTGCTTTTAGTGCATGTTCACACTATGCCCTGGTTCACACCTAGGCGTATTGCATATGCGCGTCTGTCGCACGTTTTTTTAACCGCGATTCGCGGTAAAAAAATCGCGCAACAAGCGCTCGTTTCCAAGGGCTACTTGGCTGTATCCCAATGGAAACGCGCAACAAAAACGGCCCAAAAAGGTTAGGCCATAGTCCTCTTTTAAAGTGTATATCTGGGCAAATAAAAAACAAAACATATGTAGTACAGTAAACTCCCAGTTATCCAGGACCCATGGGGATTGGTAGATGCTGGATAACTGTAGTTTGTGGTTGCTTGAGAGTCACTATTAACTCTCAAGCAACACCCCCCACCACCACCCATTCATCTCCTGGCTAGACTCTGCTATTGGCTATTTCAAATTGCCATTGCCAATAGCAGGCTGGCTATTGTTCCCGCGCACTGAGCAGAGGAGCGGACCTGAGAGAACTTTCTCTCTCAGGGCTACTCCTCTGCTCAGTGGGCAGGGCTTCAGTAGCCAGCCTGCTATTGCAATTTGAAATAGCCAATAGCAGTCTGGCAATTGCACACACTCACTGCCCGTTGTTTACATTCACCTGCCAGCTGATGTACACCGAGAATTTCGTTAGTAAGTGATACATTTACTGGCTAACAAAGTTTTTTAGTGTGCACATGTCTATCAAGCAACTGGCAACAAAAAATAGAGCACATATTATGTCCAATATTTCATTTTTTTCTTCTGGTTGCTTGAATGCCGGATAATGGGGAGTTTACTGTACATATCTGACGGCAATGCACATTTCTCCTTATTTTTCCTCTTTGAAAATGCTGCAAGTGCAAATGAATTATCGGTTGATCTGCCAGAAATTCAGTGAGCTCCTAACTTCCTGACTAAGCTGACAACTCTGCTTCTCTGAAATCCAAAGCACTGTTATATTAGCCCTCCCCTTATTTTATGGATGTGTATATATTGGTTTTGACGAGTCATATTTATAGGTCTGTTTAAAACTGCATGTTCCTCTAAGGCGGGGTGGGCAAACTCCAGCTGTTGTGGAACTACAAGTCCCATGGGGCAAGATTCTATATACCTCCGTGTTTAGAACCTGATGTTCTGTCCTACTTCCTCTACTTGCTTTTTAATAAGGTTTCTTTGTTCGGTCTGATACAGAATTATTTACATAATCCATGAAAATACTCCTGGCCATTGAGGGCTGACATTTTAGTATTCTATTCAGCAGCTGCCATTGCAGCTTCAGTTCTCCCAGAGCCTCCAAGTGCAAATTTCCTGTTGGTCAGTATTTGAATAGGCATTGATATGCCCGTTCCATCCCCATGTGTCTGGATCTGGTGATAGGCATTGTGAGATAGTGATGGACTTAAGGTGCCCATACACTGCTCGATTCTCGTACGAGAATCGGGCGAAATCCCGCGATCATACGAGAATCGAGCAGTGTGAACTAAGACGTGCGAAGTCAGCAGATCGTACGGGCTTTCAACAAGCATACGACCATCGCAAGACAAAAGTCTTGCGATGGTCGTAAGGTGTATGGGCACCTTTACACTTAATTTCATCATGCCAGACCTTTAGGGCTTGTTCACACCATGTCCAGACCGGAACAGTTTGTTCCCAGACCTAAAAAGCATCCCAATGTATCCCTATGGTATTTCTGGCCTCTGTTCACACCAGCGCAGTCCATTCCGGACCAGACAAAAAAACAAAAAACTGCTTGTCTCATTTACTCTGGTCTGGAATGCACCGGAACGCATGGAAACGCATAAAATGCATACACACGCATCAGGACGCACCTGAAAGCCCATTTTAAGCTACAGAAAAAAACCTGCCCGGAACGCGGCAAAACGCAATGCACTACCTTCCAGATCTGGTCCGGAAAATGGTGTGAACTTGGCCCTAGGTGGCATTAGTTGCTCACCATCTACATGTTGGTGGTGAGCTTCTCATATTGAAATTCTGCTATGGGCCCTTGATGGTGTCCTTTATGCAGCCCTAGGCCTAGTTTCTACTTTTTGTAGGCAAAATAGATTTACTTTCTTGTTTTTTGTTTTTTAAAGCATAAGTAAACACAAACACTAAGAAAAATATTGCATCTTTCCAGTCCTTAGATGTGAGCTGCATTAGTTTTCTTTTGTTTCACGCTTTTTTCCCTTTATTTTTCACTTGGTGATCCTTCTTGTCCCTGGGTGGCTATGCTTACTCCTCCACTGCTTCTGTGGAGGGAGCCATAGTTGCTACCCGGGCTGGCCTTTGAATGTGTCTGCCTGTGTCCATATCCATTACATGGGGCTGAACTATTCATTTACAAAATAAATACTAGGAGGTGTGTGTTTTCTGTTGAGCTCACAAGGAGTGACAAGGACACAACATTTCTGGCAAGATCAACGTATATTTTTTGTACTTGCTGAAAATGTTCTTGGCTTGAAAAAAAGAAAATGAATGCAGCCACCATATCTAAAGACTGGTAAGCTGTAATATATTAACCCCTTCATGACTGAGCTTGTTTTTAGTTTCTGTTCGTAAATGACTGACACACTTTTGACATTTTTGCTGTGTGATTCTTCCACGTCAGTAATATACTTTCTTACAAAGTGCACCCACACATATTATATATTGTTTTTAGAGGACAGATAGGGCTACATGTTTATATCACATGTGTGTCTAACGCCTCACTTAGGACAAATAAAACATAAAAAAAGGAGGAAAAAACGTTAAACACCTTTTTCCCAGTTTTGATTTGTAGTATTTTTTACAAAACCAGCACAGCTAAGAAAAAAAAAATGCAATAAATACATTCATTTATTTGTCCTTTTTTTTTCTTTTTATTTTTTTTACACTTTTTTTTTCTTTTCTTTACACTTTTCACAATTTTTATTTTTTTACACTTTTCACTATTTTTTTAAAACTTTTAAAAATTGTATTTATTTAATTATATCAAGCAGTCATTGTGAATTAATCTCACTATTACTGCTTGATAAATTAATACATTTTTGGTTATTATTTGGTTAAGGCTGCTATAAACTTCAGAACAGCCAATAAGAAGTTAGTGACACTGATCCTGCAGCAGTTCAGGATTCAGCTGTCACTAAAGGTTTTCTGACCGTTCCAACAACTATCAGAAAACGGAAACATTCTGCTTTCAGGAATAGATACATTTATGTATCTATTCCTGAAAGTGAAAGAAAAAA